GATGGAGTTATATCCGGGCGGAGTCATATCCGGATGAAGTTATATCCGACCGGAGTCATATCCGACCGGAATCATATCCGGTTGGAGTCCTATCCGACCGGAGTCATATCCGAGCGGAATCATATTCCGCCGGAGTCGTATCCGAGCGAAGTTATATCCGACCGGAGTCATATCCGAGCGGAGTCATATCCGAGCGGAGTTATATCCGACCGGATTCATATCCGAGCGGAGTCATATCCGGGCGGAGTCGTATCCGAGCGGAGTCATATCCGGATGGAGTTATATCCGGATGGAGTTATATCCGGGCGGAGTTATATCCAGATAAAGTTATATCCGACCGGAGTCATATCCGATCGGAGTCATATCCGACCGGAGTCATATCCTGCTGGAGTCATATCCGGGCGGAGTCATATCCGGGCGAAGTCATATCCTGCTGGAGTCATATCCGACCAGAGTCATATCCGATCGGAGTCATATCCGACTGGAGTCATATCCGGCTGGAGTCATATCCGGCTGGAGTCATATCCGGCTGAGTCATATCCGAGCGGAGTCATATCTCGCCGGAGTCATATCCGACCGAAGTCATATCCGACCGGAGTCATATCCGACCGGAGTCATATCCGGCTGGAGTCATATCCGGCTGGAGTCATATCCGACTGGAGTTATATCCGAGCGGAGTCATATCCGATCGGAGTTATATCCGGCTGGAGTCATATCCGACCAGAATCATATCCGACCGAAATCATATATCTTCATATCCGAGCGGAGTCATATCCGAGCGGAGTTATATCCGACCGGATTCATATCCGAGCGGAGTCATATCCGGGCGGAGTCGTATCCGAGCGGAGTCATATCCGGATGGAGTTATATCCAGATGGAGTTATATCCGGGCGGAGTTATATCCGGATGAAGTTATATCCGACCGGAGTCATATCCGATCGGAGTCTTATCCGACCGGAATCATATCCGACCGGAATCATATCCGGCTGGAGTCATATCCGACCGGAGTCATATCCGACCGGAGTTATATCCGACCAGAGTCATATCCGGGCGGAGTCATATCCTGCTGGAGTCATATCCGACCAGAGTCATATCCGGCTGGAGTCATATCCGACTGGAGTCATACCCGACAGGAGTCATATACGAGCGGAGTCATATTCGAGCGGAGTCATATCCGACCGAAGTCATATCCGACCGGAGTCATATCCGACCGGAGTCATAGCCGACCGGAGTCATATCCGACCGGAGTCATATGCGGATGGGCTGAGACATATTCGGGCGGAGACATATTCGTACGGAGTCATATCCGGGCGGAATCATATCCGGCTGGAGTTATATCCGAGCGGAGTCATGGAATACAAAAAACTAACTTGATGAAATTTATTGATGATTTTAGGGGGAGGGCGGTTTGACAAATAATCACGGGGGGGAGGAGGGGTAAAGTAAGACATCACGTGTATTTATTTTTTACCAAACATTTAAAAAAAATACAATTTTTTCTCGTAACTAAAAATACACAAAATTTAAAATCTTTATTAATTAAGAAAATCGACCGTGCAAGGTAATTAAAAGAATTTATATCGGGGAGTTATATCCGGGCGGACACATATCGGGCCGGAGTTATATCGGAGCAATGTCATATCCGACCGGAGTCACAGCCGGTTGGAGTTATATCCGGGAGAAGTCATATTCGCCATATGGACTACAAAAAACTAACTAGACGAAATTTACTTAAATGTAGTAATAGTAATATTTACCACCGTCTGTATTGATTCAGAAACTAGCTGTAAGTGGAATTCTGTCTTAAGGCAATTAGGGCATCGTGCCTTAAGGCAAATTGCTGGAACTTCCCGTACCAAAAATTATTTTTTTTTTAAAAAACGATTAACATTTAAATTTTTTAATTTAAAAATAAGATTTTTGAGAAACTATAAATTTGACAAAAAATTACTTTTTTTTGAAAAAAAAAAGATTTTTTTTAGAAAAAAAAATGTTTTCTTTATTTTGACATATGTTGGAAGATCTGAACTTTTTTTCAAAGCAATCGTACTGCTTTAAATGCATAGAGACAAAATATAAAGCGCGTAAGCGCCGCGTCGCTGTCTAACGGGTAAACATTGGTACGGAACCCATAGGAATGCAAACAAAATTTATACTTATTGTTAAAATCTCTATAAAATATCTGATAATTTGATATGCATATGTCTAATGATCATTTTTGACCGCCAAATGGCATTTTTTTTTACTTTTTGGCACGATTGTCCATATATATAGTTTCTCATAAATCTTATTTTTTCAAAGTACATTTTTTTCAAAAATGTTAATCGTTTTTAAAAAATTAATAATTTTTGGTACGGGAAGTTCCAGCAATTTGCCTTAAGGCACGATGCCCTAATTGCCTCAAGACAGAATTCCACATACAGCTTTTAAATTCGATTTAATGAGAAATTCAAGATTCAGATCCTCTTTTTCTATTGAGAATAAGGCTTATTATTGATATGAAAAAGGAATGGAAACTATTAGATGATATTAATAATATTAACCATGAAAAAGATGATTAATTAGCACTAATACCGACATTACAAACAAGGTTAAGACGCTGAACCAATTCCACTACCACCATTAAAAACTTTTGGAAAAAAATATTTTGGGAACGGATCTAGTATATTAAATAATCATTGAATAAGTTCTCGACATGTTTTAAAAACATTTTTTGTGATTACAGCGGTCATCTACAGTATGGATTGTGCCAAGCCGGAATAAGTACCTCTTTTTATAACAATTCATTATTAATTGGCGCCCCCGGAGCCTATACATGGACGGGCATGGTTTTTGTATTAAAACCTACAAACGATATTTGTGAGTAATATACATTTAAAATATCAAAAAAATAACAAATTTATTTCAATAATATTCAATGCTTCCAAATTATATCAAATTTATGCATATTAATTAAAATTTGTATAGATAAATATTTTGTATCTACATACTTATTTTTGGGTATTTAATATTTATTTTGATGCAAACATATTTCTTTTAGTCCATGAAACTTGGGAGACTAAAGTAGAACAACTGGGAAGTGAGAAAGAATATGGATACAGAGGTGATTAATTAATAAATTCAATGACATTAATATTAGGAGCATTATTAATCATGTATTTGCGAAAACTATTCATAAGCTAAGTCCAAAGATTGAACTAGAGAAAAATGATTGCTTAACTTATTACACTTTTCATAAAAAAAATTCAAACAAAGTTGGTTCTGATGGCCATCATCTTATACAATAATAATGTATCAGTTTCGCAAATTAATAACTTTTTATTATTTTATCTTTTAAAGGGATGTCTGTCGTTGGAGGTAATTTTTTGAACGTACCATCAATTGCCATAGGTGCGCCCCGTGAAAATAATACCGGAAGCATCCTGATTGCAGTTGAAAGTAATTTTCCTTCAAGAACTTTGGAAGTTAAAATGACTTTATACGGAGAACAATTTGGTTCTGGCTTTGGCCATGAGATAATCAGAGCAGATGTCAATGGTGATAAGTAAGTTTGAAAGCACTATAATGCGATACTTTTTTTAAATTATTAACTTGCAGCAATACATGTCCCATATTGATATTGCAGAACATTGTTCTTCATTATATCGCACATATATCACGAAACATATTTTTCATACAATATTTTATTATTAATGCAACTAATTACAATTAAATTGTTTCAATATTTAAAAAATCTTAAATAATTTACTAGACAACATTAATTTGTTTTTAGTCATAAGTATTGGACATTGGACTTATTCGACAATTTATTTTCTAACGTAATTAGAATTTTTTATTTGCATAATTTTATAGTGATAATAATAAATAATCTTATAAATTTATCGATTTACTGAATTATCGTATTCGTTATATGTCGATAAAAATGGATATATTTCTAAGAAATAAGCGATAAATTATATTCCACGTATTGAAGCACGTTATCTATATTTGCATTATTGCATTGATAAAAAATGTTTAGCCTCATTAAATTTTATGACTAACTTTATTTATTTTCTCATATAGATAATTTTTTAAAAAATATTAAAAAGTTTTGTATATAATATAATACAATATAATTTTATGAACACGCTTTAAGTATTAATAAAAATTTGTATTTTTGCCGGTTTAGCAACTGTTATCCATTTTAATCATACTTAGAATAGTATGTAGTAGTAGTAAAAGTCATACTTCATATATGACATGATCGGTTTGTCATTGCAATTAGCATTTGGAAATAAATCTTCATTACAGAAATAAAGTAATTGCTGATTAATAAATTCTATAATATTCGTTCACACAGTGTATTATGTTAAACAACACCTAAACAAATATTGTTTTCGCAACTTCACTCATCAAGTAATTGTGTTTGACGAACTTCATGTAATTAAAATTAACATACATTCATTGACTGCTTGTTTTTTTTTTACTTTTTCGCTGTCGATATAATCTCATTCTTTGAACAGCTGTAATATCTGTCTTGCCTAAAAAATATTTTTCATTTCAATAATTTCAGAAATTTATAGAAACTACAATTAATATAGAAATAATTTTTAATCAATAAACTTACGTTTAGTACACGGCTTAAATGTTTAATTTGTTTTGTTATTTTCAAGGAACAGGGTAAAATGTTTTTCTGATTCAGGCATTTTTCATTAAATCAAGATTTGTACTACGATGTACCTTTAGAATGTTTATTTATCGGTACGCATACAACGTTGATGCCGGTACACATACAACGACAGATTTTTATTCACATTCACCACGACTAATCACAATCGACCCGTATAGAAATGATCTCATCGAGAGCGAATGACGAACAGTTCGGGCATAACGGGCCTCCGTTGCATTTGTACGGATTTACACCCTAGTCGCGCGTAAAAAAGTTTTACTTCAAAAAAATTTTGCTGCATACTATACTGTCTAAATTCTTTATACTGATGCTATTTGCAGAAGAGACGATCTAATAGTAGGTGCTCCATATTATTTCGAACAAAACAATGGTGGAGCTGTATATATATATTTGAATGGAGAAGAAGGAGTGTCAGATACATACTTCAAGCGTCTTTTGGGTCCCAGACCTGAAAGTCGATTTGGCATAGCATTGGCATGTTTGGGCGATTTGAATAAAGATGGTTATGAAGATATAGCAGTGGGTGCTCCCGAAGATGGTCCTGGTGGAGCAGTTTATATTTTCTTGGGGTCTAAAGATGGATTGCAAGAATCTCCCTCGCAGGTAATAAAATTGTATAACGTGTATTGATTTCACTGTCGCATAATGGCTAGTTATTATGAACCTAGGTGATTCTTCTTTACACTTAATATAGGTAATCCATTCTCATACTGGCTCATTAAAAGGAATAAAAACTTTTGGATATTCACTTTCTGGCGGACTTGATTTGGACAACAATGGTTATCCAGATCTACTTGTTGGCGCTTATGATTCAGATGCGATAGTTCTGTTGAGAACAAGGCCTATCATTGATTTGACAACAGAATTGAAACCATTAGATGATATTAATAATATCAATCCTGATAAAAGAGGATGCAGTATAAATCCATCCACAAATTACACTTGGTAAACCGTTTTTGAATTCCATATTGTAAAGTAAAATCATTAGATAATATGTTGGCAAAAAATACACAATAATTATATTCAGTAAATTCACAACAAGTTTTATATTTAAATCAAAAATTCATTTAGTAAGCTAATTATCAATGTTTTTCAGCTTTTCTTTTCAAATTTGCACTACACTTGCACAAGGCGAACTACAAGGTAACACTTTAAAATACACTTTGGTTGCTGAAACATTTTCGAATGAAAAACGCTTTTCGAGAGTATGGGTAGAGGGTTTCAGAAAATTAATTACTAATGAAATTACACATAAATATGACAAACCTTGTTCAACTTATACCTGGCTTTTGAAAGAGGACACTAGAGACATTTTGAGCCCAATCAAGGTAAATATGAGAACTGCATAAAAATTTACGTATCACAATCAAAACGCTCATATATATTAAAATGCAACTCGCAAATATTAAAAACATATAAATATTTGAATGACTTATTTTGCAAACAGTTTCAGCTGAAGTATACATTGCAAAATGCTCAACCTCCTTCACATCAAGACACAAATTTACCATCGTTAAATCAGTATCCAATATTGAATAGCAGCAGTACAGTGTTCACATTTCAAGCAAATTTCTTCAAACATTGCGGAGATGATGGAATTTGCATGAGCGACTTGCAGATATTGCCAAAACTTCTGTTACCATCAAACAACTATATTTTAGGCAACGATACAGATATAAAGTTGCATATACAAGTTACCAATGAAGGAGAGCCAGCTTATGAGCCATGGCTTTATATAAATCATTCAAATACGTTAGATTTTGTTTCAAGTAAAATTCGACAATCCGGTGCACATGTTAACTGTAAAGTTCATAGTTCGACCATGGTTGCTTGTTTGTTAGAAAATCCTTTCTATTCAAAAACTATTGTTGATATCTTAATACGCTTCCTGCCTCAAGAGTATGTTCGTTCGGCTGATTTAAAACATTGGCATTTCCAAATTTTTGCAAATACAACTTCAACGCAAGTGCATTATAAGGAACCAGAAGAACTTTATGCAAACATAAAAGAAGAAGCTAAGGTGTCAATTCAGGGTGCTACGTCTAATCCTGAACAGGTATATTTTGGTGGCATAGTTAAAGGGGAGGCTGCTATTAACTATTTTGAAGAAGTTGGCAGTTATGTTGAACACGTATATGCAATTCACAACCATGGGCCATGGGTATCGAAACATTTGGAAGTTGAAATTCATTGGCCGCATCAATTAGCTAATGATAAGATCAAAGGAAAATGGCTTCTATATTTAGCAGAAGAACCAACAATTGACGGTAAGTTAATGTACCACTTGTAAATTAATGGCATATTATAAAATCATTAGATAGTAACTATTATTTTTCTAAGACGATTACTGAGTTTTACACGGATTTTTTTTAAAGTTCGCAAGTTTTGTCAAAGAATACTATTTCAACCAAAAAAATATCAACCGTTATTATTTGCCAGTACTATCAGACTTACAAAAAAGTATACAAAAATTAACTTGATTAATCAACTCATTGTCAACAATCTGATGTACTGAATTGTAATTGTAGATTCAGGAGAAACAAAGTGCTACTTCGATTCGTCTTTAGTTAATCCATTAGGATTAAAATACCGTAATAAAAAAATAAATCATTCATCAAGTACCAATGAAAATGATAAATCTGCAGATAGAATAAGAAGAAATGTGAATGATGAAATTCATGATCTACTCAGCACTAAGCCAATGAAAGAAAACCTATCAGAGGAGAATATTCTTACAATAGTGAGTATATTATTTCGTAGAAAATCATATATATGCAATTTTATATTTATTTTTGAATATTTAGGGATGCGATGGAAATAAGCCGCTAGCAAAATGCTTGAAAATCCGATGTACAATTGATTCTTTAATTGCTCATCATTATGTAATTATTAAAATTCGATCCTATTTATGGAATGCTACTCTTACGGAAGAATTTAAAAAAGAAAAGAAAATGAATATCAAGTCTCACTGTATTGTTCAAGATAATAATGACGTAATAATATCTAACCAGGTAACTAATTTTATATGTAATATCGACCTTAAAATTCATAATTAAATTAGACAATTGGCTTAGACATGCTTATTTTAAAATTCTTAAAAGTTTAGAAGATTGTGTAATAAAAAGTTTTAATATTTCAGGCTACAACAACAGTAATTCCCAATTTATTAGAAGCTAGCCATACATTAAATATATGGTACTTGATCGGATCTGTTTTAATTGGACTTTTAATACTTTTAATAGTGATATTTTGTTTGCGGCAATGTGGATTTTTCGTTAGAGTTAAAAAGATACCACCGCATTCGGCTGTCATTCAGAAACCAGAGGAAAAATAATCTATGATGGAAAAACTTTGGAGAAACGAAAATGTCGATTTATAAGACATTATAAATATTGTTGTAATTGATAGTATCTAAAAAATGTGAAGCAATACAAATAAAACAAATTTTTTATAGTTAGTGGGACAGAAAATAAATTGTATAACGTTTATATATAAAATATAATATTTGATCTATTGTTTTTCAACTTCCCGTGGGATAAGTTTTATATATCTTTACGTTTCAAAGGTTTTTGAACATTTTGGCATAACTGAGAAAAAATGGTTGTATGTGTGTGTATGTGTGTGTGTGTGTGTGTGTGTGTGAGTGCGTATACATATTTTCGTCGACGATTTACCGATCAACCAATTCGATTAATTGAAAAAACATTCGATTCGTATTGATAAGGAGACGTGCTGATTAGTTTTTGGCGAAGGCAGGTCTAGTCGTTCCGAAGATACGGGGCACAAAATGCCAAAAACGGTACCTCAGTTTTTAAGAGAACGGAGCGTCCGATTTTGATAATTCAAAAAACATTTTACTTGTATGGACAGGATAAACAACTGATTAAATTTTTTGGAAGGCAGGTCCAGCGGTTATGTACTCTCAATAAAAATTAGTTAAAAAAAGTTATTTGGCGATCAAAAATGTTTATTGGACATAAGTATGTGCATCAAATTATCAGATATTTAATAGAGATTTTAATGTTGTGTATACATTTTGTGTAAATATTTTTGGGGTCCGTGCCAAGATTTTTAATTACGGTACAGGAACCAAGCAAACAAACACCCTACTATGTTATTACTGTAAATCACAAGTTCTAGGGCACCACTACCCATTATTATTATTAAATACTGTAATACACCGTACTGAACAAGTTCAGATATTACAACCGTTTATAGCTAAATATTTAATCACTTTGAGCTGAATGAAAACTGTATCAATTATTTATAATAAATCAAACAAGTATATATTAAAATATAGCTATATTTATAATAATGGTCACGGACGCATACCGGGTAAGTACTTAATATAGAAAAAAATAACTTTCATAGTTTACTTTATGAAGATATATAAGAAGAATGTACAGCAAATGATTTTACCTTTACAAATCCTTGGTAAAGATGTTATTTAGCACATATTAATAGTAAAATTAATCATTTTTTTTATATTTTTTCGAACTTAACTTACAAAAACACATTTTAATTTGCACTTTTGCGTGCTGCACTGGCCATCTGTCAACGGCAACTGACAACTAAAATTGGTGACAGTGACATGTTAAATGTGTCAAAGTTGTCTTAATGACAGTACATTTTAAATTGAATAATTAAAGGATTGAGGATATTGATAATTCTATTCTGTTTCTTGAGTAAATTTTGTGAAAAAATGTACAATTTTGAAGAATTGGATTGGACAGGTAGTACTTTATTTTGTCATAAAAGTTTATGCCTTTTCACGTTACTTTATATATATTAAACCAACCACTCATTTAGTTATTTTCTTATTATAATAGGCATTTTTCTTGAATAAAATTTGCTAATATTTGATTAAATTTCTTTTAAATTTTATGTTGAACATTTAATAGCAAACATATTTTTATCATATATTTATCTTTCATCATGACAAAAATGCAATTGTGTTTAGGTTATATATATTCTTTATAATGATTTTTAATAGTTATTTAATATTGCACTTATTATTTTGCAGATATTAGAGATTTATTCAGAAAATGGCGAGAAGGTAATGAAAGAAAAAGTGATGATGTTATTCAATTGTGGGAGGCGGTGTTGGAAGACAGACAAGAGAAACTTGGAAATGAACGTTAGACTTTCATGTGTATTCCACAAGAAAATCAAAGAGTTATATAATTTACAGTTTTAACATTTTCAGGATACATAGTTTTGGAACAAGTCATCATTAGTGCACTTGATTGTGCTCGAATTGATATTGCTGATAAATGCATTAAAATATTAAACAAAAAGTTTCCGAAGAGTTTGAGGGTTTTGAAATATCAAGCTATGAAGTTGGAAGCTATGGAATGGTATATGATTAATAAAAGTTTAAAAAATGAATCTAATATTTATTTTTATCATCACTTTTAATGGTTACTTTCTTTTAGCTATGATGATGCTCTACAGATATTAGATACATTGATAAGCCGCGATGAAACTAATGCAGCTCCACGAAAAAGGCGAATCACTATTTTTATGGAGAGAGGTCGAAATGTTGAGGCAATAAAGGAATTGACTGAATACTTGAAAATGTATTTTTTGTTACTGAAAAATTCTATTGCGTTGTTTAAATATTTTATTATTTTAAATCTATAATTCTAGATTTATGTCTGATCAAGAAGCATGGCAAATGCTGTCTGATTTATATTTAGCAGAAGGAGATTTATCAAAGGCTGCTTTTTGTGTTGAAGAGCTTATTTTACATAATCCACACTCTCATTTATTGCATCAGAGATTAGCTGATATTAAATATACTCAAGTAAAGTCAATTATGTTATGCATTTTAATCTGATTTGCATGCAAATAACAAATTGCATAATGTAGATAGTGAATAAAATTTTATATTTTATTTCCTTCTAGGGCGGCTTTGAGAATTGGGAGATAGCAAAAGTCTATTATAGTCAATCTATTAAATTAAATCCAAATAATGTTAGATCGTTATATGGATTGTATTTGGTATGTTTGAAATATTTATAAACAATTCTTCATACATACATATATATATATATATATATATATATATATATATATATATATATTCTTTCAGACTTCGGTGAATTTGTCTAATTCACAAAAGTTAGCAGCTGCCAAAAAGAAAGAACACGTAAAATTGGGCCAATGGGCATTAAATCAAGTGAAAAATATTCACGATAAACAGAAATGTGATTCAAGTTTGGTGAAAAGTCTAGAAAGCGCACTGGGTTCATTGCAAATATAGTTTTATATTATATATGGTAGATAGTGACTAAAATTATGTATGTTATTTTATAACTATATGTATAATTATGAAGTAAATTATATGTGCAATCATATATAGTTATATGTGATTGTAAATTTTAATTGCGCATTTTTTGTGCTTTAAGATATATTTTAAACATTATTTTTGAAGCATTATTAGAATGATTAATAGTGTTTTGCACATTTTGCTCTCGTTTTGTGACCTAAAATACGCTTTATATTAATTTTGATGAGCTAAAAAATACATTCATCTTGTAATAATAATTTTTCAAAGGATTTGAAATGTGCATAATAATAATATACAAATTAAAGTTTGGGAAACTTTGATATAAAACTCATTGCATTTTTATGACAGCTGTTTCTATAGTGGAGGTTATGTTATGATGGAAGTTCATTTAAAAAAAAATTAGGAATAATTGTTAGTTACTTGTTTAACATGTCTAAGGAATTAAAAAAGACTTTAAAAGAAGCACGTGATGCTCTCAAAGCAAAAGATTACACTACTTGTGTTAAACAATGCAGAGTAATACACAATTTTATGTTTATCATGCTTATTTAAATCCATCTTTTTTAGTATACATTACTTTTATATTTATTTAATTTTTAGTGGGTTTTAAAAGAGGATCCTGAAAATTATATGGCATTGATATTTTTAGGAGCTGCCTATCAAGAAACAGATTCTAAACAAGTAACATATGAACATTATTTGTATTGACGCAGAACTAAAATAACCATGATGATACTATTAATGTAATGTAGAAGTATTCTTTATATACATATATATTTTTTCTTCAGGCTTACAGCTACTTTCGAAAGGCATCAGAAATCAGTCCCAGCCAATTATTAGCATGGCAAGGTTTGGCAAATTTTTTTGACAAACAAGCTCCTTGCGAGGAACTAGCTCAAGTTTATGGAAAATTATTAGTTTTAGACGGGTATTGCCAATATAATTTTATTATTTATTGAATAAATGCTAATGCATTATTTATATTTTAGAGATAAAAGTATTGAAGTATGCCAAAAAATGATATCTTTATCAAGTAGACTTTCAGTTAATGACTCTTGTGTAAAAGCTCTGCAAGGTGCATTAAATTGTATAATAGAATCTGATAAGAATGATAAAAGGATTTTACAGATATATTCAACTATAGCAATTGCGGTAATGCAATCTGAAAGAATTCCTGCTAAACATTCTGACATAGTACGTTAAGATAAAATAAAGCATTTATTTAAAATATAAGTTTTGAAAAAACTCCTTTTTTATAGTTAGAACAAGCATTGTCAGTTCTCACAGCACATCCCGAAGTTGAAAATCATTCAGAATTTTGTAAATGGCAATTAAGACAGTTTTTTCATTTGAGCAAATTTGAATTACTTTGGGATAAATGTAAAATCATGCACGACTTATATCCTCAAGATTCATATCCTCTAGAATGGATTTGCAAGCTATATGTTGAGATGCAATTAGATGATTATTATGAGGGAAATTTGAAATTGGAAATTGATATAGATAAGTATTTAACTGCTCTCATCTTTATTAAGCAGCCTTATGATATGTCTCAGATGGCTAAAAGTGTCATGCTACTTCTGCAGAATGATTTTGTAAGAGCAAGGGATATTGCAGTTAAAGGTAAGTTCTGCTTTTTATAGAATATAAATACATATAAAGTATTTTACGGTTTATGCATGGATTCTTTGATATAGCAATTTTATTCCTTTTGTTGTAGTAACGTATATATCGTATTATTACTAAAATTGAAATTCTTTCTAAATATTATTTTTATTCAATATTTTTATTAACAGAATTCTATCATTAAATGCTATTTGAAATACTATTTAAAATGGTGAATGAACAAATAAATCATCTTGTTTAATTATATGTATTTTAATAATTCAGTTTAATGTGCAGACTATAATTAGTAATAAAATTATAATTTTGTTTGATGTATTAACATATTATCAGGCGAGTTAAACAAAAATTTTAGTTAGAATTCAGCAAGAACGAAGAAACCTAGAACGCTTGAAAAGTATTTGAATTTCTTAATCATTGTTTTCTGGTTCTACGATTTCTGGAATAGTGCCAACACCATTATTTTCTTCTTCTTCTTCTTCCCCTTCCTCACCAAGTTGACCTTCACCGGTCGTCTCTGATTTCTTGGCCTTCTTCTTCTTTTTTTTCTTCTCAGTCTTTTCATCTTCATCTTCATGCACCATCCAATAAGGTTCACCAATTACGCGAACTATACCATTGTTCCTCATATTAGCCAAAGAACTAATGTACCTCCTTACTGTATAATATTGGCCACATTCTATTATACATACTGGTTCTTTTGGGCGACCTAAAATATACCCATAAAATTTTATTATTTGTGTTTTTGCTTTTCATATAACTTCTTTAAATTATTAATAAATGACCTGATTTGCGACCCATTTCCGACAGAAGTGATAACGTTTTGAAACCACTGACGAGGTGGCCGAATACGCATCGTTTGCCATTCAAAGGCGACAGTTCTCGAAATGTTATGGTAAATTGTGAATTGCATTTGCCTTTGAAGGAACACATTGACAAATTTCCTGTAATATTTGTTAATAGAATAAACCGAAATATCGGCGAAATATAAACCAACGACATACCTGGTCGGTCATGTTTCATTGTATAATTTTCTTCTTTGAAATTACCACCATAGATAGATACACCACCGTTCCCGTTACCTTGGGTGATATCACCACCTTGGCAGTACAAACCTGGATATAGTAATAATATTTTAATTTATCTAGTATTAATGAATTTAATACTAGTAGGATTTAATAATAGTAGTTAATTAACCTGGTACTATTCTATGAATAAAAGAACCGCTATATGTTAAACCTCTGCAATCATGGCTTCCGTTGCATATGGCTAAGAAATTTCTGACCGTTATTGGACACATATCTCCATATAGTTCAAATATCAACCTGTCTGTGAAATAATAAAACGAAATATATTAAGATTTTACGAAGTTTTTACAACTATATTTACGATTTATCTTTTTTAGATTTTCTCAACATCATGCTCCTATTTTAATATAGGGGCGCTTTTATGCCCCTATATTATTCTATCCGCTTCTTTTTTATAACCTTTAAGAAGTTGATATAAAGTTTTAAAATATTGAATACAGAGTAGAGCTAGATGTTATTGGAGGAAAAAAATCTTTTTTTTAGATTTTTATATAAGAAATTAACTTGTATCAATATATATTTTTTCTGCAAATATAATATAATATTGCTACGAGTGTCGCTTATAAACAATGTTTATACGAAGTTATATAACTCTGAATTGAATGAGTGAGAATTATAATTTGTTATTTTGGTGTTTAGTATTTTAGGAGCGATAATGATTGTGAAATCTTAAAATATTTTCTATAACAAATACTTGAGAGGCTTGCTGGCTCGTACAAGTGTGTCGCTTCTGGAAAACACTCTCGTAGCCAAAAGATTAAATCCAGTTAATTGTTTTTCAAAATTATGATTTAAGCATCATCATTTACATTTATTTCTAGAAGTTCTGTGATATTTGTAATTACCAAAATTTTTCTTATTGCCTATCCTTATGTCGAAATATACTCTAGGTCTGCATTTTGGAAATTTCTTGTTGCACAATGGTTTAGGTTTTGCAGACGAGAACAGAAGCGGATGTTTAGCCATTATATCCATTGATTTTAATGTATCCCTCCACAATTCATTGCATTCGTCCCGGGTAATGGTTCGTGGTTTTGTATCCATTAGCCGCTTTCGCAAAACACGGTTATCTTGCATTATTTGCAAAATATGGGAATGTAGTGCTTGCATTTTGCTGTATCTTATTCCTGCTATTGGATTATAAGTATCCAGAGATCCTGAAATTGATTAAATTCTGTTTTATTGCATTAAATTGAATACCCTTCTAATTTCATAAAGTTTTAGATTAAACAAAGAGTTTTTTTATAAGGCATCCAACCTATTATTGAGAGAAGAAAAATTATGTTCAAAAAAAATTAATTAGGTGCCATACGTTCTGATTCTCCTTCAGTAGATAAAATTACAAAAATAAATAAATACATAAAATAATCAGCACCAAATATACGATACATTATGAAAAAATTAACGTTAAAGTCAATTGATGAATGCCTATATAAAATACATTTTGTTTACTAATATTTATAAATTACCTTTAGTACGTTTGATTTTATTGATGTTAGCATAAAGAATTGCGTCTTCTTGCATGATTCTATCCATTCTTTTGCAATCCGCTTTCAATTTAGCAACTCTTAAAAGACTTCTTATTTCTAATTCAGGAGCTTTATTGTCAATTGAACTCGTCATTTCTCTTATCTAAAAAAAAACATTAGGAAATTATATAATAACATAACAACTTTCAATAGGTAAATGCTCATGTATTAATGTTATAGTAACAAGAGAAAAACTTTAATAACAAAATATAGAATGCACATGATAAATTGCTCATTACTTTTTATGTTCACCTAATTAAATCTTAATCTTAATCTCATATTATGGATTTTTTGAGAAAGGTACAGAAACCATTCTGCACTCACTTATATACTATGAGGATACTTATATTTATCGGGTTTTTTGAGAAAGGTACAGAAACCATTCTGCACTCACTTATTTAATATGAGGATACTTAATTATCGGAAAAGTATTATTTTAGTAAATTGATTTTCTATTTCATATTACCCGAATCTCCAATTTAATTATTAATATAATAATTAAATTAAAATAATAATTATTAATTGGTTGTAATAGTAAATATCTTATATATTTCACTATATGCATATATTATACATATATGCTTATTTTTATAGTATTATAACATGTTGAACTACATATAAACTAAAATATGAAAAATATATATCACGTTTCTTTTGAGTTTTATTGTATACGCTCATAAACGCGTAAATAAATGTCACGTTGCAAAAACTTTACGGTTATTTTTTGCAGAAAATGTATTACATTACGTGGTTATGCAGTAATAAATACAGGTCACGATAAAAATGATAAGAAATAATTCTAGGTTCTACCACTTTTAGTTTATTAATAAAATACCCACGTTTTTTAAATGTTTCTCGTAGGCTTGTCCACTATTTCCGATTGGAGGTTTTTTCGTTTTTAATTGAAGTCGTGCACAAATACTTTCACAATAAATAGGTTTTCTTTGCACGAAATCTTCATTGTCACATTTATATTTTTTAGACATTATGTAAAAAAACTAATAATTTTTAATGAAAAGGATCATTTGCCGATTGTAATTTTAGTTGGTTACGATAACTGCAGCATGAATTTTACCCGCAATAAATTTAATTTTCATTTGAAAATGATAGAAAATTTAGTTTAATAAAAACAAAAGCCTGATGAAATGATAGTTGACTAAAGCTATACTTAATAATAAAACCAAATACTTTAAATGCAATTTATCGTGTTGCATAATGATAAAGATTGCACAATGATTGCAGAAAACTATTTTTAAAACTTTTATATTTGCTAAATATAATTAATTCTACTGAATGTGTATTATATGAATCATAAAACTATGATTTACTCAAATAAAAAGTGTAAGCAAAACGTGCTCAAAGTTGGTGAAGTTATGAGTACTTGCTGTGGAAAAATTACATATTCTCAAATACATAAGAGAAACACATACGGCAAGCAAGTACCGTATGCAACGATCTCTAAAAGACTAAAAACAACTTTGTAAAACACGAGTACTTTTTAAAACTTACAAAATCTACTTTTCATAGCAAACATTTTGCATAATATTTTCTTCCCAGTTACTGAATCTCGACCGGGATGGTTGCATGCTTTGTACGCTTTAGCAATTTGTTATCAGAAACTTTCTGCTTGGAATTCTTGCGAACAAATTTGTCGAAAGGGGTTGTCTAAAGTGATGCCGATGAGCAAACCATCAATTAAGATCCATTTAGAAGAAATGCTGGTTGAGAGTCTTATTAAACAAGAACATGATGCTAAATTACACGATGCAGCTGATAAATGTCGAGAAGTGAGTAATCATAAAATTCTCACATTGCATGTGATAAACTATGTGCTAAACGCGAAAATTTATTTTTCTAACAATAAGGCAACATTTGGATTTTTGCTATTTACTCCATATAATTCAATCCTTGAAATTTGATATAGAAATTAAGACTAAAATTTCTGATTGATCTAATCGTAATTCTGAATTATACATATTTGTATCTTACGGCATTAGTGAATTGCTTTATTGGTTGTTTATTATGACTTAATTACAAGTATGATTTATCAGATATTAATTTTGCGTTAAAAATTATGAATATACAAAATTTTCATTATATTTTGGTTTTTCATAAGTATCTGAAACATATTTATATTTTCATATTTTTACTTATTTTCTTAAAGATAATATCATAATTTGCAGCTTTAAAAGATAATATTATAATTTTTAAATAATGTATTTTTTCCAGATTTTATCCGCAACACCTGACAATGCGAATATTTTATATTTTGATTTATTCACCAAACTTCTATTAAACAAAGGCAATGTAAATATTTCTTCCGATTGTCCTGGGTATGATGGACTTAGTAATTTTCAAACTACAACTTTGAACTCCTTGAAGCAAAGACTTCTAAACAACTTTGAAGCCGCATTGCTCATACTAACTAACGCTTTAGATCAAAACCAATTCAAAGAAACGGACGAAGCGGCACTCTTGTTGGAGATCGGAAAATGCTATAAGTCATTAAATAAGTTAGATGAAAGTTTGATTGCTTTTTTAAAATCAGCGAAATTAAATCAGTATTCTGCGGATGTGTTTTATCATATAGCCGGGTGTTATACATCATTGAAGTGAGTGTATACCACATTATGTTTAATGAATATTTTCCATAGTTTGTGAACAATATTATTTTGTGTCCAGTGTTGAAAATGGCGTAGAACGCGCGAAGAAATGTTTGCAAAGATCTATGCACTTCGATAAACTTCATCCAAAGGCTGGCTCTTCGTTGAGTCGCTTATATAGACAAAATAATCAAACTGAAGAAAATTTAGCGTTACTGCAGAATGCCGTACAAACTGGAAGGTCAGTTCTATAAATTTAATTAAATTTCCATAAGAATTTATATTTTAAATTTGTTTTTAGAAATTTAGAAACAAAATGGGCTTGGTTACAATTAGGTCTCCATCATCTTTCTAATCGCGAATACGATTCCGCAATCAACAGTCTTCGTGTTGTCATCAGGATTGACCCAGACGATGCACAATGCTGGGAAAGTTTAGCCGATGCGTATGTGAACCGCGGGTCTTATGTGTCTGCCCAGAAATCATTCCGAAAAGCTTTAGACATCAACCCTTCTTCTATTTATGCAAAAATACGTACTGCAAATATAAATCAAAGTTTAGGTCATTTAAACCAATCCATAACTTGGTACAACGAGGTTTTAGAGATTGATCAAAATTACCTGTTAGCACTGAAGGGTCTTGGTGAAACATATTATCTTCTAGCCAAACGCGCGTTTAAACAAAAAATGCCCGGACTTTGCAGAAAATATTGCCAGATGACAGTAGATAATTTATTCAGAGCTATTCGAGTAAATAACAGATTTGTATGTCTGTATAGATTATTTGCTAATTGTATAATGCTAGTAATCGATCTACCCGACTATTATTCGTGGTTAGAATTATCGAAAGAAATTTCTCCTGAACACAACGGGGCAAAGTTGCAAAAATTGGAATTGTTTGATATAGCGAAAAAGTTCTATTATCAAACTTTAAAAATGTCACAAAATAATGATAATGTTTGGAATGAACTTGCTATAAATTATCATAACCATGCTGTATATCTGGATAAAATAAGTGACAAGTCGGACGAAGTTTTAAATTTGTTGAACAAAGGTATGTCAATAGCTAGAAAGGCGGTAATGCTAGCGCCCAGTAAATGGCAGCATTGGAATACCTTAGGTTACGTAGCTTGCAATAAACATTTGAATCAGTTGGCACTAGCTCAACATTGTTTTATAAAAGCAATTAATATAGGAAAAGACACAGCGGTTGCCTGGACAAATTTAGGTGTCTTATATGTTCAATACGGTGACATGATATTGGCGAACAAAGCATTTGCAAGAGCCCAAGAATCAAATCCAAGGTAACGTGTAAAAATAATTATATAAGAATCGACGAATTCTAGATATTTCATTAGCATATTTCAACAAATGTTATACTATCGTTTTCAATATAGATATAAAAATGTAGATTTAATATTTGAAATTCAATGGTAGAAGTATTTGAAATTGATTATTTATATAATTTTAGATTACGGTATCATATTATATAGATTTTTTTCTATTAATTATTATTGCTTATGTTTCATAAATTTTAATCTTTCTAAATAGTTACGTTGGTAGTTGGATTGGCCAATCATTCCTAGCGCACAAATTAGCCAATGAAGATGAGCTAGATCTATATCGTCATTCCGTTCAGTTGGCATTTCAACCTGAATGTTGCTTAGCCTACGCAAATCTTGTCTGCGAAACAATTAACGATCCAAATAAAATGAAAGAGTTTCGTTATAAGTTTGCGATAGAAGATATGCAAGCCGTTTGTTTGTCTACTGATATCATTATCTGGTATCTTGAACATTATGGTTGGATAGAGGATGCAGACTGGAAAGAGTTTGATCTCAAACAGGCCAAAGGACGGGAAAATAACATTGTGTGCGCGCTGACCTTATTAGGACATCTTCGATGTCTTCAGAAAATGTATAAAGGTAAAGACATAATGAAATCATTAAACCAATTGCGTTCAGTTTGCCTAATGTTAATCACTATTTATTTTAGGAGCCCAAACTGCTTATTTGACGGCTTTAAGTTTATGCAGCGAAAGTCATAAGGATAAGATATTAGTTAATTTAGCAAAAGTACAATTAAAATTATCACTGCCAGAAATTGCATTAGAAACATTAAGCCATGTAAATGAAGCAACTTTTATGTAAGAGAAAATTTATTCTTTATTCAATTCATTTTGTTATCGAATTAATAATTTTTTAGGTCGGCTTGCACTTTAGCGCAAGCGTATTTTAAATGTGGCCAATTTGAGGAATGTTATGCCACATATGGAAATGCTTTAGAATGGTTGTGCGAAAATGATGAACAGAAATCGAGCGTAGCTATTGGTATGGCACGCCTTGCTTATGCGTTTCAAGTACGTTTCTTACCAATGCAGCTAGATATCTTCAGTAATAATAAATATATTAAGTTAATTTAATTATTGCAGGGACCCAATGATACAAAAATTTTGCTATTTCAATGCTTGGCAACAAAACCCCCTCCCTTAAATGCTTTATATGCGGCTTGTGCTTTGGGTATATTGCATCAAGATGAAAACTTGACGAAGCTGACTTTGAATGAGCTCCAAAACTTGAGTAATTGATAATAATGAATATGAATATTTGTTTAAAACACTATTTAGGTGCACTACATATGTAATATATTCGTTACAGACAACAGTAACAATGGCAAGTTTAACAAGATTAACGATACAGTTCTGTTTCTTCAAGTTCAGCACGAAATTTCAATAAAGAACCAACTTGCTGCACGTAATATAATTTTAAATGCTCTAAGGCAGTACCCAATTTGTGGAGAAGCTAGGTACATGTTAGCAAAGTTTTTGTTAACTAAAGAAGAAAAGGCTGCTGGGAGTATAGCCGCCTTATTAACGAATTCGTGCATTGAATTTATGGATGAAGATGAGGATAAACGAGTGAAATATGCGAAGGTAATTTAATAATAGAATTAATTTTGCCTTATATAAAAAATAAATATTTATGACCCGTGTATTTTTGTAAATATATAAATCGGTGTTTAATTTTTTAAAGTTTGCGTTCTAAATGTGTTTTATGCATGATCAAGCGCGGGTGCCATTGAACTACCGCGATGTTTGTACAACTAGGATGTACATGCATTTTTTTATTGCATATGTATCATATATTTCAATTTTCATTCCACCAAGGTTTTAAGTATGATTAGCCGTGCCCAATTACAATCACATGATGTCCGATCTGCCAGAATATCTTCCCAGCGTGCAATATTTCGTTGTCCAGATACTCTCATTCCATGGGAATGTTTATTAAATACACAAGAGAAGGATTCAAGTCATTCGAGTTATTGGAATAAATTAAATGTTCATGTTTCAAATTTGAAAGCTGAGCTAAAATGATATTAAAATCAAGTTAGTGATACCAGAAAAAATATTATCATTGAAGCTGTAATTTTATTTTTCTTATATACTGTTTTATAAATAAACATATTATGAAAAAATGAATTTGTGCCTAATTGCATCATGCATATACACGAATACACAAACACACACTATATATATATTATAATTAGCTTGTATTAATTTATCGGTAATTAATTAAATATTGAATCAGCAACTATGTATTGGCTCATTGTAGTCGGATATATAACATAGAGATAATTCCATTTTGCGATAATTCTCCAGGATTTATATAGAAATACATCTAAAGTTTTCTATCATTTCTTCTTTTCCAAATAATTGTTTGCCTGTCGCCATACGAGACGATTCAAACTTGAAATTTACATAAAGTAAGTGAATTTACAGCTCGAGGGCGAATGCCGCATTTGAAGTTTCAAAAACTTTGCTAAACTTCATTGGGATGGGTCATCTTGTTTGCGGTGTCCATCAGACGAAAGCGCTGTCCGATTGTTTTTTTAAATCTTTAAATCATAAGAAAGATAAAAACAATTATAGAAATATTTTATATTGAGATAATAGCTACGTGAAGGAATCAATTATTATGTAGTTAAAAATATATATTTGGAATAAAATCACTTATAATAAATATAATCGAATTTTTTTGAACCATTCAAATCGGTTGATCCGTGCGCCCGAAAACGTGACTGGAAATTTGTATCCATACATACATATACACACACACATCCATTTTTCCTGGGGTATGCCAAAATATTCAGAACTTTCAAAACGTCGAGAAATGTAAAAAAAATTCAATTTCGATTTTCGGCCCATTACAATAACTTACCCTACGGGAAGTTAAAAATGTTATAGATAAGATTCAAAATGTGCCGGGATTAGCTCAAGAGTAGCGTTTCCGATTCACATGCTGGAGGTTCCGAATTCGAATCTCCGACAAGAATTAAAAAAAAATTAACTAGTTAAGTTGGAATAATAATAGAATTATGAATTGTAATAAAAAAGAATTTAGAAGAAGAATAATTTAGATGAGAAGTATAGAAGAAGAAGATTATGTGGTTAGAAGATGAAATGAGAAGATAGTAAAGAAGAATGAAGATAAGTTAAGAAGTATAGAAGAATAGGATTATGTAAAGATGATAGTATAAAATTGAGGATTGTATAGGACAATATAATTGTATAGAATAATGTAGGTGGCTGAATGCTCGAGTAAGCGAGGCCAATAACAAAAAAAAAAAATTAAAATCAAGTACAACTTCAAATGGTTTGTTTACCAACCGATTATTATCTATACAATGCAGCAATATGATCTGTGATTGTTGATATTATATCAGTAGTTGAAATACCACTTTCATTTTGTTCCTGCGTTTCGGTAGGGACAAGAACAAAGGCGTGTAGACTCGGGCGCTATATGCACCCGAGTCGATGTCGCCGCATGTTCAAGGTCTTGAAGAAACCAGGACAGTTTTATGTTTTTGTAATATGCTTGTGCTTGGCTCCTTCATAACTGTGTGTTATAAATGAGTGCATGATTGTTTGAATTATGGCAAGTGTCGAACTGTCTTATTCAGTTTGTACCTGTGTTTAGTGGACAGAACATTGGTGCGTTGTGCCGCATATCGAATAAACCAGGAAAATTCGAGTCAATTTACACTTGGAGCCATGAACAATTTAGGCTAGGAACCTTCAAAATTACTAAATCAGTGAGTATTGTATTTTATTTTGTATGAATCAACAAATATCTGATAATTTGTTATGCACATGTTCAATGATTTGCACCAAATATAATTTTCTTTGTTTTACTTTCTCCGAAACCGCTAAATCTGCTTTCATAAAAATAAATTCGAGTAATTTTTTCTACGGAAAGTTGATTTACTATACATTTTTTACTGTGCGTACTGTTTGATTTACTTAGATGTTTTCTAGGGGTCACATACAATTATTTCGAACGAAGTTAAAAAATCGATTTTTTCGCGAAAAATTAAACTTCGCCTTCGGGAAGTAAAGCAAATATTGGAAAGTTAATTGCTCAGAGGTTGTAGTTCAGATGCATGCACAAATTACGAATATCGGTCTTAAAATAATGTTGATACAACAGAGAAAAGGTCGACTTATCTATGAGGAAGAAACATACATTTTCAGAAAGATTCATATCTATGCGAACCCTGCCGAAATTCGTTAAATTAATAACGTTAATTAATTAAAGGTATTTTCCTAGTTTAGGAATATTTGAAATATAATTGTGCGAATTAGATTGTACTTGTACGTTAAACATTTATTGTTTTAGAACAATATAGTATTTATTAGTATTTACTAGAGGGGCACGATAATTATAATAAAAGAAGCATCTTTTGTGACAACCTTTGCATGCTTTAAAAAAAACACAATAAAATCTGTTATATAACGACTCATGCAGGTTAATTACGACGGTAGGTGGTCTATTTTACGTATTTATTCACGCTGTTTGAAATCTCTCGTATGATATACGAGTACATAATAATATAAACATTATTTTAGGATTTCACTCTTTGATCATATAGTAATGACGTTATAAATTACATAAGCCAACTGCAGAGTTAGAATAAACAAACAACTGACGGATATTATTTACATTATTCAGATTATTAATAGTAAATGTATTATTATAAAGAAAATGTTTTAATATTAGTATTTTTAATCAAGTGTCAATCATTCATTGAACTACTTTTCATCATTTTGTTATTTTAATGAAAAATACAATATTGTGTTACTTGTCACTCTAAGGCAAGAATTTCAATCAAATCAAATGATAATCATCACGTCATTGAATTAAAATACGTGCATAACAGCCCTTTGAACAGATTAGCCCAGGTAGTCAATATTGATCATTGCTGCAATTAGATAGTCGAAATCATGCTGTGTAGCTAGTGTAAAAATATAAATTAGTATCACTGTTCATCCAAACAGCATAATTGTAGGTTTGAACAAGTTTTTCACTTTATAAAGACTCAATCAAAATATAACAAAGATTTATATTAAAATAGTACTCTGAGCATTTAAACTTTCTGTAAATTGCTTAAAGTAGAAAATTACTAGGATTGAGTGGCATTTTGCTTCAAGGCAAGTTGCGTAAACTTTCATACCTATGTGAATAATTAATTTAGATAAGTAATTTATTTGATTTATCAAATTATAAAAAAAAACAGTTTGGCCATAACGAGACCATATCGAGTTTTTCTGACGTAAGGTCAAATTTTATTTCACACACAGATACACATTCTTTTTCCGAATTTGCAAAATAAGTATGTCGAATTTTTTGGCATAATTAGTGTGTGTAGTTAAGATTACAAATATATGGTGGGAAAATTAACTGTACATAGCTTATATGATATATATTTTTTTTTATTCAATAATAATATAGGTAATTCCTGAATTACTGAACTAAATCAAAAGATTCCACTTTTCTTCAAATTTTTCTTATTTATTTAAATTATTTTTAAATATTTTAATCAACCTTTCGGTGATATGAAAAGTTTCCTTTCGCAGGCTATTTATAAAAATATAAGAAATCACAGTAAATATTTTTCCGACCGACGGAGGGTTAATATTTTTAATATATAATTAGTGGTACATGGCATTGGGCCTTAAGACAAATTGCTGGAACTACGAAGTAATTAAATATTCGCAAGCTAAAAACAATTATACATTAGTAAAATTGATTAATGAGTAATAACAATTGTTTTAAACATTTTTAAATAATTATAAAAGAATAAATGTAAATTTAATCGTCGTATTTTATAAATATGACATAAGTGATTATATTTGGGTGACAATCTCCAGATATGTCTAAATACAATAACGAAAACATAAACAAACATCGTCGACACAAGGAGCTTCTTTTTTGAATTACTCTGCTGCATAATGTAATCAAATACTCACTCTATCAATACGAATCAAAGGTTTTTTAATCATTCGGACGTGCTGTTCTCTCAAAAACTAGTTGTTTTTGCGCTTTTTGCTCTAAATCTTCGGAACGGCTAGGCCTGCTTTTGCTAAATACTAAACATCTCCTTGTCCACAAGAATCGAATGGTTTCGATATATACCTATGGATTTTTAACTCTTTGGGGACGGCTGCCCACTTGAGTAGACAAACATATTCTGTGAGGCACAGGCTATTTTATAAACAATGACTCAGTTTGCATCGAAAAGTTGAGTAAATTACATATAGCAGTGATAAACAGTGTTGCATTTTAAAAATAATTTTAAGTTATTTTAGTAGTATTTTTAGCCTTTTTTATAGTCTTCTTTTTTAATATTTAAAACGACCGAGCGCTTTTAAATATGGCAAAACGACTGGTAAATTTTGTGAATTAAGCGGTAGTGAATATGAGTTTCAAATAGACATTCATACAAACAAATTTTACGAAATTACTTTTTGCACCGAACATAGTGATGAATGTAATATCTAACCAACAAAAAGAAGAAGAAGTTCGACAAATTAAATGAAGAGCGGAAAGATATTAGCGAATGTGCCGATTCTCCTTCAATAAGCATCAACAAACATAGAAATCAACTCCTTCAATACATCAACTACAATACCCGACTACAAATATCAAGCAATATAAAACATCCAATAGATTATTTTACTTTATGGCAGCAAAAAAATTAACAAATATTCTGACTAATCAGTGGCATATTCTAAATGCGAGAGAAAGAAAGAGGAATTGTATTGTATATGTATGTTCAGACAGAAAAGCACCAGGAGAAGCCGGCGAACAACATTTTATTGTAAAACATGTCAAAATCAACCATGCATTTTGGAAATTATTTTAAACGTCACCATTCTTTATAAAATGATCAAAAATAAATTAATATTATGAATGGATGTCCTTCAATGATCACAAATTTTTATCAAACAAATTGCATACACAATGAAATTAAGTTTACAGCCGGTACAGTAGATTGTTTTGAAATCCGTGCCGTCCCGTAAGTGTTAAACAAAGTTTTTGCCGTTTTATTTTTATCA